CATACCTGATATTTGGAGAAGATGAAAACAAAGTAAGGGACACAACTCTAGTGATCAGCACAAGAACAGTTGACTCCGACCGGCAGATTAGTTGAGGAAGCAGGGAGATTGGAAAAGGGAAGATGAGGGGAATTAGGGAAGGGATGGGGAGTTTGATGTTTTGGGGAGGGAAAGAGAGTGTTAAGGAGTTGAAGAGGGAGTACATAGGGGAATTGAGGGAAAGAAACAATAAGAATGAAGAGGTGGGAGGTTAAAAGGTTTAAAAACTTCTATTATTCGCCTGTCGGGTCGGGTCGAGTTTACGGGTATTGATGCAATGAGTCCCCATTGACGGTCTCTCAAGGTGTGACGGTCCATCATGGGTTCCTTAATTTAGAAAAAATGGAAAAAATTGTCTGGAGATGACGGCTGCTTGCGATGGTCCATCGCAGGCGTGACGGTCCGTTGATGGGTCCATGAATGAGTTCTGCAAACCAATTTTCTGGTGATATGCTACCTTCAAATTTAACACCCATGAAGCTAATCTTTTTGTATTTTCAGGACACTTTTTTGACAAGGACCATAAACTATGCTCTAACCAAAACTACTAACAAAAAAAAAGCAACGAAAATGCAACTATTACTAGAAAGTAATAAAAAACTATAGTTGGCCTAGAGGATACATATTGGGTTGCCTTCCAACCAGCACTTGATTTAACGTCGCGGCACGACGGAGGACACTTTCTTACTCAGACTTCATCAAGATGGTATGCCTTGATCACTTCATTCACCATTTCAGCATGCCCCAGATTGATTTGATTCGTTGTCCGTTCACCTTAAACAACACACCCTCCTTGTTTTCCAATTCAACCACTTCGTGAGGGAATAGCTGGGTGATCAAGTAAGGTCCAGTCCATTTGGACTTGAGTTTGCCCGGAGACAAGCGCAACCTAGAATTAAATAAACGCACCAAATCCCCAACCATAAAATTGCGTTTCTCAATCTTTTGGTCATGGTAGTTCTTCATCTTTTCTTTGTAGAGGGATGAACTTTCATAAGCTTTTAGGTGAAATTCATTGAGCTCATTCAATCCATTTAACCTCTTTTCTGCAACCTCATTCCAATCCATTTTCAACTTCTTCATTGCCCAATGGCTTTATGCTCTAATTCGACCAGTAAGTGACAAGCCTTCTCATATACAGTGAGGTATGTGGACATACCTATGGGAGTTCTGTATGCTATTCGGTAGGCCCAAAGAGCATCATCAAGTCTCCTTGGTCAGTCCGTTCTACTAACGTTTACCGTTTTTGACAAAATCTGCTTAATCTCACTATTTGACACCTCAACTTGCCCACTAGTTTGAGGATGGTAAGAAGTGGGAACATTATGGCAAAACCCATATTTATCCAACAATACCTTAAACAATTTGTTGCAAAAGTGGGATCCCCATCACTAATAATAGCCCTTAGGTTGACAAATCGGGAAAATATATTCTTTTTCAAGAACGAGGTGACGCTCTTCCCTTCATTATTTGCGAGTGCGATAGTTTGTACCCATTTAAACACATAATCAACCGCTAAGAGAATGTACTTCATCTTTTGAGAACTCAAAAAAGGGACCATGACGTCAATACCCCACACATCAAATAACTCAATCACATGAATGTGATTTAAAGGGAGCTCTTGTTTTCTTGAAATGCCGCCATCTTTTTGGCATCTATCACAAGCCTTGGCAAACTCATGAGAATCTTGATGAATAGTTGGACAATAGTATCTACATTTTAAGATCTTGTACGCGGTCCGGATAGCACTATGATGTCCACCTACGGGTGAAGAATTGCATGCCTCCAAAAAAACTTAACATCTGAACTTTTGGCGCACAACGCCGAATATGCCCATCGGCACAACTCCTACACAAGTATGACGCATCCCAAAATGATTTTTTCACATCATACATTAACTTTTTCCTTTGATGAAAGGACAAGTCCGGTGGGATGATATCGCTAGCTAAATAATTCGCAAAATCTGGGAACCATGGATCAAGTCTTGAGAGGCGGCTAATACATGCTCATCGGGGAAAGTATCATCAATTTAAGTTTTATCCCCTAATTCTCTCATTGCTTCATCTTCTAAACGGGACAAGTGATCACCAACTTGATTCTTGGTTCTTTTTTCTATCAATCACCTCAAAGTGAAATTCTTGCAATAGTAATACCCAACGAACAACCTCGGTTTCACATCCTTCTTTGCCATAAAATATCTCAAAGCAGAATGATTAGTATGCACTATAAACCTAGTGCCAAGCAAATAGGAGCGAAATTTCTCAAAAGCAAAGACTACTGCAAGGATCTCTTGCTCAGTCACGGTGTAGTTCTTTTGGGCTTCATTTAAGGCTTTACTAGCATAGTAAATGGGGTGAGGGATTTTGTCACTTCTTTGCCCCAATACCACACCAAGATCAACCCTACTAGAATCACACATTACCTCAAATGGTTTGCTCCAATCCGACAAAATAATGATAGGTGCAGGCACCAACTTTTCTTTCAACTCACCAAATGCTTTAAGACAGGATTCATCAAAATAAAATTTACACTCTTTCTCAAGCAACTTGCACAAAGGATGCACAACTTTTGAAAAATCCTTGATGAACCTCTGGTAAAAACCTGCATGCCCAAGAAAGCTTCTCACACCTTTGACAGAGATAGGTGGTGGAAGTCTCTCCATTACCTCGACTTTAGCTCGATCAACCTCTATACCCTTTTTTGAAATGCGATGACCCAATACAATACCTTGTTTCACTATAAAGTGACATTTCCCCCAATTTAGTACTAGATTGCAGTCTTCACACCTCTTAAGAACTTCAGAAAAATTACTCAAACACGCTCAAAAGAGTCACCAACCATAGAAAAATCATCCATAAACACCTCAATAGTGTCCTCCACCATATAGGAGAATATCGACATCATACATCTCTAAAATGTGGCAGGTGCATTGCATAACCCAAACGACATTCTATTGAATGCAAAGTTACCATATGGACAAGTAAATGTGGTTTTCTCTTGATCTTCTGGTGCAATAGAAATCTGATTATACCCCGAATAACCATCAAGAAAACAGTACCACCTCTTTCCGGCAAGTCTATCCAACATCTGATCCATGAAGGGCATAGGAAAATGGTCTTTTTGGATAAATGTATTTAAATTCTAGTAATCCATACACACCTTCCAACCAGTCACTGATCTCATTTGAACAAGCTCATTTTTTTTCATTAGGGACCACAATCATTCCCCCTTTTCTTAGTTACACACTGAACATGGCATACCCAACTACTATCAGCGATTGGATATATCACTCCAGTATCCAACCACTTAATAGTTTTCTTTTTCACTACCTCTTGCATAGGTGGATTTAGACGTCTCTGAGGCTCAATACTTGACTTGTGATCAGGCACAAGTTGGATTTTATGAGAATAAATACCGGGAGGAGTCCCAATTATATCTTTAATAGTCCACCCAATAGCTCTATTGAAATTTTTTAACACTAACACCAATCTCTCAACTTGATGCACATTCAAATCTGATGCATTAATAACCTACAAAGTATCATCTTTCCCAAGAATACATATATCAGATGAGGTGGTAGAGGCTTAAGTTCTAATTTTGGAGCCTCCTCATTAGACGGTTTCGCGGGTGGAGATTCGGGATGTTGCATATCTATATCAAATTTCTTTGGTTTAAAATGAACATTACCTCGATCAAGTGCCGCGACCAATGACTCATACTCATCAATGCCATCACTATCAAAATTCATGATCATTGCCACCAATGCTTCTACACCCAGACGCTCTTCAATTTGTACCTCAGATGACTCTTAAACTCTGTAGGATAAGCAGATACCTATTGGACCTCACTACTCTGCCTCATGGACCTACAAATGTTGAAGGTCGCTTCTTCATTGTTTAATCGAAATTTCATATGCCCATTTTCCATATCAACGAGGGACCTACCCGTAGCAAGGAATGGCTTCCCAAGAATTATAGGCCACTCAAAATTGGCCTCACAATGAAGAATCACAAAATCGGCCGGAAATATGAATGATTCAAATTTTACTAGCACATCGTGGAGTATACCAATGAGCCTTTTTACTATTCAATCGGCCTTCAGTGGCCGCATCGCAGTGGACTTTAGGTTACCCAAACCCAACTTCTTGTAAATCGAGAGGTCCATGAGATTTATACTTGCCCCAAGATCACATAATGCTTTCGCAAAATATAACAACTTGAATGTAAAAGGAATAGTGAAAGCACCCGAATCTTCTTTCATTTGCACTAGAGATCTTGTAGCAATGGCACTACAGTGCTGCATTCTATCATCATCCTCAAAAGTGACTGATCTTTTCTTTGTAACCAAATATTTTATGAACTTGGCATAACCAGGCATTTTTTCAAGAGCTTCTACCAAAGGGACATTGATAGAAAGATGTTTCAGCATCGTTATAAAACACAGGTATTTACCATCTTCAGTCTTTTTATTAACCTTTGAGGTAAAGGAGGTGGTCACTACACCATTTTCGGCCTACAGCAACACCGCGCAAGTGTAGCCTAAACTAGCAAAAAGTGTGGCCTTTGATAAAAGGCTACACTTTTGGACATTCAGCAACACTTTTTAGGGGCTGCCCAAAAGAAGCGTAACCTTTGACATTACGCAACACTTTTTAAATGTCGCCATCTTTGGCTACACTTATAAAGTGTAGCCAAAGAGGTATAAGGCAACGCTTTCTTGTGATGCATTAGCAACACTTTTTATTTGATTATACTACACTTAAAAGTGTGGTCTTTGCTTTGTTGTTGGTTACATTTAAAAGTGTTGTCTTTTATATCTCTCCTAAAACAACACTTATAAAGTGTGGCAATGTTTCATATAATTTTTGTAGCCAAAATTTTTCATCTTAAACAATAATAATTTTTATTTCCATATAATAAATAATCATATAAATAAAAATATAAGTTATTTAAACCACAAAATTAGCTAATCAATAAATCGAGGCTATATATTATGAATAATCTTTGAAAACATGTCTTCTACAACCAATACATAGAAAGTGATTGCTTAAAAATCTCTACTATCAATATATACCAGAAAATCAAAGGAATTTAAACAAATATGATATTAGTAAAAAATTCTTCAGCATGAATACAATAGATTGAATTTACTTCTGTTCCACTAATCAAAATTCAATTACCAACATTTTCCTGCACATTTAAAATAAAACTATAAGTTAGTGAAATAAATCATGAATTTAATATGCTCAATACTAGTAATTTGTAATAATCAGGAGATTTTGTCATGAATTGCATTCTCTGCAGATAGGGTTCCTTACTGTTTTGTGGAGGATGGCATTGAGAACTATAATTGCAGTTGTTATTTCAAAGAAAAATAACATAACGACGGAGGGAAGCTTTTTATTTTAATTTTATGGACATAAAGTTGTTGATATATGGTTGTCTCCATAATCTTAATGCTTAGATATGCAAGAGATATCATTGAATTTAGTGGATATAGAATTGCACAGAATAACATATGAAAGGGGAACATTCATATGCTTCTACCATGCTTTTCGTTGGATTATCTACCTTTTTTTCATTTCCAGTGTCATTTTGTTTGGCTGGCTAAACCACTTTCTACTTCTCTTCAATGCCAACTCCAAGTCCACTTCAGGCCAAAGAACAGGGGCAGCAAGAGAGTAATCTGAAGATACTCTAATGCAAACATGTAAATCAGGATAGCAGTGGCACAAAACAGGCATGAAAAAAGAGGAAACTCAACACAAAAACATCAAAGTATATGTTTTTTTATCAATGTAACCTAGGATATCGAAAGATCATTCAAACAGCACCTCCGGATCTTGTCCCGATGATTCTTGCAACTCAAATTCATAAGTAGCCCATGGTTTCTGATCAACCCATCTGGAAACCCATTTTTGTGTGCAGGCAATTCTAGAAGGGCTCAAATCTTACAAGAATTTCTTGTACGTTATTATCCAAGATTGCAGCAGCTATATAAGAGGAACTGAATATTGCATATTGCAGCACCTGAGTTAAGTGCAAGTTATAACCTACTGTATATAATGTAAATTGATTCTATAACATGTACACTGATTATATAAACTACAGACACAAGATCCAAGTAGAGAAGCTCAAGCCAAAACTACAAGGGAAACAACCAGAAGTTCAACAAGGTTATTTTGATTCAAAATATTGTTGTGAAGCCTTGGAGTTAGCTACTTATTTCAAAAGCTAAAAGCTAAAATTCAATTCAAATATGCTGTAAGATTTATCTACTTATTTGAAGTATCAGTGAGAAAACACGAAAAAATTTATTACTTAACTTTAGTTTTACAAAATAAAAAATTGGTAACAGAAACAAGGCTTTACAACTCTCATGAGTAACACAGTCCACACAAAAGAGCAATCTAGAAGCAGATATACCACGTTTTGTAAAAGTTCTCTCTTACAAAACTTAGACTGTTAACTGCACATCAACTAGAAAGGATGCAAAATGTCGTCTCAGAACTGTAGGGACTTAGAAAAAACACACAAATATGCCCATGAAAATGCAATATACATATGACCGAGAAAGCTATTAGTGAACATCTGTTACATTGTAGAATTCACCAAATATTTGTAACCAACGCACTTAAGCCTATGTAATATTACAAATGAACGAAACAATCCCATTGATAAACTATGATAACCAAGGTATCCTGTCAATTGAATTGGCAGCTCGTGACTATGTTCTTGATGACTACTTTGGAATTTATTGGGCAGAATCTCACAACATTAAAGTTTGTTAGAGTGTTGTAAGACATATTACAGTTTACACAGACAAATAATACTTAGTAGCACCATAAATTAAAGTTTTTATGGTGTTGTAAGTCATAGTAGTTTGATAATTGTACCAGTAATATTGTTCACCTCACTGTTCTGCCTCTAATGTCCACTTTCTGCTAATATTAGAAAACTAATAAGTATATAAATAAAACAACAATTCTTATTTACATGTCCTAAAGAACTTTGATTATTGTACCATTAATAGTGTGGAATGTAATAACCTTTGTCACATAAGTTTGTGCCAAAAAACAGTCAAATAAAATAATAGTAAGCTAGAAGTAAAGGTTCCTAAATAAACTATAACCAGAAAAGAATCCAAGATAAATTACTAGACGAAACAACAATTGGATGCATAAATAAACAATGGAACTAAAGCTACTGAAACATTGAGGAACTTGTAACTTGGACAACAGAATTGCAGCAGCAAGGGAAAGGCTACATGAGATTCAAGCTCATCTTAATTATGCCTCAAACCAAGAATTTATCGAAAATAAGATAATATCATTAGTAGAAATGACAAAGTAGATTGATATTCAAGAGAAGGTCAAGAAGAAAAAATCAAAAGCTCACTGAAAAAATGGAAGGGGATTGAAATATAATATTTCTTTAAATGTATGAACTCTTGAGCTAGAATAAATTCTCACACAATATTTCTTTAAGTCTCACTATCTACTCATATTGAAAGAGGTAGAATAGGTCAACATATACAAAATTCAATCAGCATAGCAACAAAATGGCAAATTCATGGAATATTGATTATCAACCAGCTAATAGATAGTAGGCTAAAATTCATATATTTCCCATAGTTGTTTCACAAATTTAACCACGAAAAAGTAGCTAAATTTATAGGCAAAGCCAACATAAGTATAACTACATAGTAGATGAATAAGATTCAAGTTCATATCAAAACTAACACCTGCAGCGATCTCAACAAGAAATTTCATCTCCTTCTTGACAAGAGAAGCAAGCTTACATCATTCTTCCTCTCCTACCACCCTTTCTGTGAGTGCAATCAATTGGAATTGTTGAAAAGTGAATCAAGATCATAGATCCCTTGTTACCACCCCAAGGCAACCTAAGAGAGAACGAATGGCTCTAGCAAAGTCAACCCAGGAGAGAACTCTTACGGATTTTGTATAATAGGAATCCAAGGAAATCTAGTATATGCAGAAACACAAAGCATAGGCAACACGACAAATATTGAAGCTGAAATCACAGAAATTTGGAAAGCACTAAGTTATTGCAAGAGATGTGGGATCACAAATGCCATTTTAGAGACTGACTAGCTCAGTCTCAAGAATATGATTCAAGGAGAGTGGAGGTTAACTTGGAGTTTAATTGATAAGATAGAGGAGATGCATATGATTATGGGAACAATTCAAATCCAGATAGTACATATATTTAGAGAAGTTAATCAATTAGCTAATTGCATCACAAACATATCTATTAACCAAGAAAACCGGCAGCAGTATCACATATTTCAAGATCTACCTAGTATTGCAAGAAAGATCTTAAACATGGACAAGAAACAGTACCAACAATCAGAATAAGAACAAAGAAAATCTTAAGCATCTGCAGAAATTAACATTAAAAGCAAAGGAAGAACCACATAGTCACCTATTTACAAAATCATTTGTGGCCAAGCAGGGGAAAAATATTTGTTTACAAACCAACAACCCCCACCTGAAGATAGACCGATATATGATATCTGACAAAAGAAAAGAGATCATCTCAATGTGCAGATTGTGATATATTACTCATGATGTAGCAGAACAAATCAAAACCTAATGGTTCTCTTCAATGTGCAGATTGTTATATTCAACTATGTGCACTACTATTATTACAACAACAAACAAAAAAGTGTAGCCCCACGAGTGGGTCAGGGAATACAACAACATACACAACATAATTAAACAAGTGGAGTAAGTGGAGGTAGAGTTAATATGCACCAAAAACTATGCGGAAAACAACATTACCTTTCTTCAGGCAGTGAACTGGAAGGGGATGAGTAGGAAATCGATCTTCTCCATGAAACTTGAACACTAACAACGGATGAGAATTTCGGGCAGAATCTCGGACTCAAACAAAGCTTGGGAAAACTAATCTGCGAAATTAGTTAGAAAATGTGATACTCTTGTCGACACATGACTCTCCTTGCCTTAAACGTGTGTGTGTATATATATATATATATATATATACTATTATCTTCAGCTGCTCTAAAGGTGTTTGCTCAAATAAATTCCAACTTTTTTCCAACCCCCAACAGTGAAAAAAGAGGTTTATATAGGGAGGCTAAAATAGGAGCTACACTCCCAAAAATCAACTGATGAAGCCAAAATACAATTCATACTCCCAAAAATCGTATAAAAATACAAGATATTAAAACCCTAAAGCTAAAATTTAGACATTATGAATAATATTTCTTACTTGATAAAACCTTCCTCAAACTAAACCTGTTTGAAATCGTGTTCTTAAGTGAGAAACTGGAGAGATAAGTGTAGCTTCAATTCATCATCTTTCCAACAACCAAAAAACATTCATTCTTTCTAAACACAAAACAAAAAATCAAACACTTAAGCTAACAAGAAGACCTGTTTGAGTACTAACGCTTGATGTAATAGGTATTGAAAAAGAGAATCGTACTTACTATTGAAGAAATCGTTATTGGAGAAAACGACTTGAACTCTTTAGCTCTTCACCTCTTCATCTCTGTTCTGGGTCGACTTCTACTCTTCAGCCTGTTCTTCTCACAATCTATATCGGAACAGATAAGTTGTTCTTCAGGTTTCTTCACGTTGGTTCTTTAGCTCCTTCACGTTGGTTCTTCAGTTCCTTCACAAAATCAGAAAAGTGTAAGAAAAAGGTTGAAGGAGGAATGTCAAGTAAAAGAGTAAAGAGTCAAAAGTTAAATGTTTTGTGATTTATAAATGTTTTTTTTGGCCAATAAAAATTGTAGGGAGAGTTGAAAATAATTGGAGGGAGAGTGAAAAAGTTAAATGTTTTAGTGAAAATTTTTAAGGCAACACTTATAAAGTGTTGTTTTTTCAATTATAAAAATAGGACATTTTAGAAGTGTGGTCATATATGTAAATAGGTGCTGCCAATTATATCATATTTTAACAACACTTATAAAGTGTATCTTATATGATTAAAGATTACGCTTTTGAAGTGTTGCCAAAATTATTGTAACTAAAAGTTAAAAAAAATTTCTACGCTTTAAAAGCGTTCCCAAAACTACTCTAGGAAACACTTTACAAGTGTAGTCCAGAATAAGTGTGGTTGTAGGACTAAAATGGTGTAGTGGGTGCTCTAGACAGGGGGTCACCTTTTGGGGCACCTCAACATCTTTTACCGTTTTATCTTCTAACTCACCACTAACCTCCATCACTATATCATCATATCTTATCACCTTTTCTACAACAGACGGCATAGGTGGGTCAATGGTTTACTTACCACCTCAAGTAGTGATTGCCATACAATGTCAATCATTTTTCGGATTTTGGAAAGTGTTGCTAGGAAGAGTGTCTGGTTGCCATGTGTTCACAGTTGTAGACAACTGGGGTATTTGCATTTCAATATGCTTAATCAAGATTGGATGTGTATCAACTTTCTGCCCTATACCTGTTAAGTTATTCCTTAACTCTATAGTGTAATCATCACTAGCATCAAACCTCCTAATCATTTTCTGTATTATATCCTCAACTCGCGCCATAATACCTCCACTATCCCTAAGAGCAACTTCACAATTTTGAGGTGGAACATAGGGCCCATTCCTATCATTTCTGTTACCATAGTTACCCAGTTGAAGTTGTTGTCGCGGTTGTAATTCCTATCTCGGACATAATGACCCTCACAGTTATAATTACCATAGTTCCGACCTTGGTTTCCTTGACATTGGGGCGAATTCTCCTGATTGGAGCCTTGGGTGTTCAGTCTGAAACCCCCGTTTGATCATTCATTTCATATGAGTCTTCCTCATAGTAATATTCATCATTTTGGCAGTGGTGGTTTAAACAAGTAGTTCACCGCATATACCTTTTCCTCACCCCCAACAACATGTTTCAACACCAACCCAAGATCATTTCTCATTTGAGACATCTCCTAATGAAGATTTTCTGCGACTGAGTTGTGTGAGGATTGGACTATGAAGGTGTTTCTCCCATTATATGACTTCCTAGTACTCCAAGCTTTATTATTTCAGGAGATTTTCTTTAACTTTTTTCAGCAATTTCTTCATAAGGACACTCCCCAATGAACCACCTGCTATTGTATCCAACGCCACTCATTTATTATCATCTAGTCCCCGATAGATATACACTTTCAGAGACTCATCATCTATGCGGTGATTTGGAACACTTATCAAGAATGAATTGAACCTATCCCTAGAACTGCTAACTGACCCTCTAGGTAGTGCAACAAAGTTTTTCACTCTGTCTTTGTGGTTTAGTTTCGTAGACACCGGATAGTAGTGTGGTAAGAAAGCATCCCTCAGTTGATTCCAAGTGAAAATTGAGTTATAAGGGAGCTTAGTGAACCATATAGCATCCTCTCCAGTTAGTGAGAGAGGAAAAACTCTTAGCCCGATTACATCCATATTCAAATCGGGCCTCCCTACACAACTTTTGGACACTTCCCTTACCTTAGCGATGTGGGCATGTGGATCATCAGAAGGTAGACCTGAAAACAAACCTCTGGTAGTAAGCATTTGAATTAGACTACTAGTTACCACAAAAGTGTGGCCGTGTGGTAGAGGGGGAAAGAACAGTGGCCCATAAGAGTCTGTGATATTTTTATAGACCCTATAGTGCTTTTGAGGGCGTGTAGTGAGAGGTTGTCTGAGTATTTCACCTACCCCATGAATATCATGTAATACAGGGTCACGAGCGTTGACTAATGGTGGCATTTTTGGGTCGACCTCATCACATTGGATGTCCAAATTCTAATTCTCTCTTCTTAAAGTACGCTCTAGTTAGGGGTTAGGTTCAATTACTGTTATTACTCCACTCCGTGTGTTTGTCATGTAAGGGAGTTAGACCTGCCGAAGACAAATACAAACAGAAAAAGTAAAATTAGGAAAATGTTGACTTAACTTCGGTAATAAGCTTCAAGTTAATCGAAAAGCCACTTTCTTCAGCAATGTCGCCAAACTTTGATAAGCTCAAATTTACTTCTCGAAAAGAAGTAAAAGAGGTCGCATCAAGTAAAGAATTCAACTAGTTAGGTTGGTATCGTTCCCACAAGGAAAATGGTTCATACTTAAGTTTATTCTATTATTACTTCTATTTAGTCAATTATTTCACGAAAACAAATAACTAAAGGGGTTTTTGATTAATAAAAGTAATTAGCTAAATTAAAGTAAATAAGTGACAGGTTCAAGTATTGGAGTTTAATCAAGTAAGGAGAGTAACTAGGGCGTATGTGTTCCCCTCAGGCTCCTCACTCAGTATCTCTAGCTATAACAATTATTTCCTAGTATGTTGCATGCAAAGTGATAAGTTAAGTATCTCTTAATTCTTGGTCCGGCATCTAGAGAATTTTACTCCGCACTTTGGTCCGGCTACGTGTGTTAATTTACTAAATCTTATCTTTACCTCATATTAAGCATCGTATTGGATATTTAACTATGTTGTAACTTCGTACCAACCGACACTAGCCTTAGATAGTATACTCTAAATCTATGTGGATAATTCTTTTCCTATTATCTACCTCCTTGGTCTGGCAAGTAGTAATATGTTTTCCATCCGTTAAAAAGACTTCTAAGCGAATGAATGCAAGACGCTATTCTAGAATTGGTTATTTTAGCTAGATTTTACCTTGTTATTTACCCATGGTTCCCACAACCCTAGTTATGGAGTTTAGTTACCCATGCTAATAATCACACAATTCATATTGATAATATAAGAATTCATGCACTTACTTTTATGAGAGTGAAGAAAATCCAGAAATTCACTTGAATAATTCACAAAAAAACCAACAATTGATTTCGGATAAGTATGATCAAATACCAAAATCAAGAGTTCAATACTTAAACAAGAGAACTAAAAACTATACAAAAGTCATAACCCCAAAACGAGGTTTTTTGAACTATTTATAATAAAATAAAACCTAATAAAAGAAGGACTCTATTTAAGGCAAATCTGTGCAAAAAGCATCTGAATCGACGATCCCAGCGACGGACCGTCATGGACACGATGGACCGTCGTGGGATCCGTTATTCTATAATTGGCATAATTTTTTGCTGCTTTCTTTATCAACTTTTTGTTACCCTCAATGGACAGATATGACGGACTGTTGCAAGCATAATGGTCCGTCAAGGGGTTCCGTTCCACAACACTTAGAAACTTCTTGAAATTGGGTACTGGAACTACTCTCTGACAACCAGGACGAATATGCAGGACGGATCATCATGGCTGTGATGGTCCGGAAGCTACCGTCATGAGCTTCCGTAGTCCCAGACTTGGTAAGAATTCCCCAACTTCCTTCAGCAACCATTTTCTTCTCACTACGGTGCCACCTACAAACCGTAATAGACACGACGGACCGTCGTGGGCTCCGTAGGTGGTCACTTCTACAATTTCTGCTAAAATCCTATGCGTTCTTTTTTATATAAATTTCTTGCAAATAAAGAGAAACGTACATCAAAAATCAATATAAAAAGGCTTTAGACACACACTAAACGTAAGGAAGAGACATTGAAAGTACCATGAAACCATGGTACATCAACACCCTTAACTTAAATTCGTTGTTTGTTCTCAAGCGACGCACTATGACTCACTACAAAATGTTTGTACAAGAGTATCCATCTTTTAACTTTCACAATCATTTGGCTCTCAATCATAATTATTCTCATTATGTTCATGCATGCTATCACTATTAGGCTTGAATTATGTGGATCAGACCATGACACAACCTCTGCATTTGATCATAAAGTCTTATCATGCTTCTTCGCGATCTCTCTGTGGGAGTCAACACATGAGTTTTCCTCTCGTTGATGCTTGATGTTCTTGACTTGTTCATCCTCCATGATTGGAAATAGACATGCAATTTTTATCTATGGTTTAAACATGTATTGAAATGTTATACCATGGGTATTTACCTTGAGCAAATCATAGAGCTGCTTGTACATATCAAATCCAATTATGAGATTCATCCCTTAGAAGCTTTATTGAACTTTTGAAAATGCGGAATTCATTTCTCCTTTAGAAGGATAATATGGTTAAGCATTGATGCATCTTCTCTTGTATCCATAAAAGCAATAACCTGGATAGGTCTATTCCATTTGGTTGGATAGATTGCAAGTTGGACATGAGGAGTCTGAATTCCTGAAATGATATTGACTTCCTTTTCCTTTAAATCAAATGTATGAAATAAAACATCTTTCAGTCATGGTTCAGGACCCTGGGAAATATGAGTCACTTCTGGTGGATCATAGTAGCCACTATATCATCTTTAGTGGTGCATATTCTAGTAGGTTCTATTGTATCGACAAAGAGCTTTGCAACTCACTTTGCTTTCCTAGAGTATGGACAATCTCTTCTAAGATGTGAGTCCTTCCATCAAATAAAGCATGTCTTTTCTTTAATCTTCTTGGATCACCTATGTAAGTGACATCATCTTTTGGCAATCAGGTTGTTCCGTTGAGGTAGATGATTCCTCTTTTAGCTTATCCATCCTTGCCTTTCGAGCTTGCCTATGGCATTTGGTGAGCTAAGGAGGTTCATGAACACCTTAAATTGTATCACATTATTTTTTGAGGTCAATATGTGTGTTACTAGATTCATGAAAATCATGTTAAGATGAATTATTTTGATCTTTGATAATATCTTAATGGCTTTGTTGCTCAAGATTATCA